TTGAGACACAATGAAACCAGCAGGCTATACAACCCTCAACTTAGATACCTGCTGCTTAGCAGAGTTCTTTATTTCCTTATTACAGTAATTTGTATACCACCTGCAAATGCTTCACCTTTCCCTGGGGGCCATAAGCTAGTGGACACCTCCTTTATACGTTAGCAACCCACACCTTGTGCTTTCGATAAGAGTCTACTCCAACTCCCAGCATCCTTATTAAGCATAGCTGGCTATCGATTACGGGTAGTCCTTCACTTCTGACCACAATTCAGCCCAAACTTTCTGCCGCTAAGCAAGACCATGGTCAAGTGAGCCTTGCCCAATTTTTACAATCTTCCTTGACACAGTTATTAAGTGAATCACTGCAGTTGTTAAGTTAGCAACACGATGGTTACCGTATTTTTCGAAGTAGAAGACGCACCAAGATTTTAAAGAGGCAAATTTAAAAAAAAAAAGTTTTTACACTCTGCAGACCTCCCTAAAACAGCCTGTCTTCTGTCAAAAAAAAGGGGGGGCATGCATAGCCTTTAGGAAGCTTGCAGAATGCTCCTGGGGGCTAGCCCCCCCCCCAAATGAGCAAAAAGTGCCCCATTTTTTGCAAAAACGGGCCCGTTTCTGTCAAAAAAAAGGGCACACATAGCTTATAGAGTGCTCCTGGGTGCTGGGCGGGGGCTAAAATTGAGCAAAAAACAGCCCATTTGTCGCTCATTTCTGCCCTCCCCAGCCCCCAGGAGCACTCTCGAAGCCCCCTAAAGGCTATGCATGACCATTTTTGCAAAGAAGGTGGGGTTTCAGGAGGCCAAAAATGCTGTATTCAGTGTATAAGACACACCCAGATTTTCATTCTCTTTTTTGGGGGGGGGAAAGGTGCGTCTTATACTCCGAAAAATACGTTAAGTGAGTCTGATTTCACCATTGACTTTGCTTGTCATAAGGTTGCAAGAGGTGATCACATGACCCCAGGACACTGCAACCATCATAAATATCACAAGGCTATTGGGATGCTGCAACAGCCACAAGTATGAGAAATGGTTGCAAATCACTTTTTTCAGTTCCATTATAAGTTCAAATCGTCACTAAACATATGTCTGTAAGTCAAGGACTACCCGTACTGAAGCCCAGCTTGGGGAAGACTGCTCTAGGTGGGTCAGAGTATCTGTCTACAGAGCCAGCAAGCTTCCTGCTACAACTTCTTTTAACTCATGACCATTTCTTGATATCATCCATTGCAAAAGACTGGACTGTGGTGAAGGCACAGTTTGTGACTCACATTGTATCTAACTTCACGGAAGTTAGTAGCCCACTTGCAACACAAACGTATGTGAGCACACAGACCCCTTTGTAGTATTGGGAAATTGTTCAGTTTTTGCTTGGTTATCCTCAAGTAATTTCTAGTCAGCCTAGGACAGGGGTCGGCAACCTAAAACATTCGAAGAGCCACAAAGGTCGCAACTGGAAACCCCCCGTTCAATTCTGGAGCCAACTGGAAGTCTGGTTCTCCCACCATAGAGTCTTCTCCTAGCGCGGCGTCCTTTTTCCTCTACCTGTCCTAACCGAAAGCCCTATCAATTGTGGAGCTGACCAGAAAACCTGCTCCTTGCCGTAGAGTCTCATCCTGGCGTGCTGTGCTCCACCCCTCCCAACCGGAAGCTCTTCTCAAAATTGGTATTGGTATTTATTCGATTTGTAAACCGCCCTATTCCCCGAAGGGACTCAGGGCGGCTGAACAAAAACTAGGGGAAGGGGAAAAAGAAATATAAAAAGTAAGACAAACAGGACAGTGATACAACAGTTTAAAAAAGCACAGCAAGCACAGCAAATTCGAGTAG